GATTAGGTGAGAATTTTTCAATCTTAAGTTTTAGTCAAGCTGTACGACATTTTATTTGTTACTCAATTGTTCACCCTTTCAATACTGGAATAAATAATTGATTTTCCATTGGTGGGTGAAAGAATCCTGTAGATCACCACAAATCCCCAACTGGTCTCTAGTCTCTCTGGATGAATCAAACGTAATCTGACCACTAGAGATGTGTTCTCGTCTTCTGAGAAAATAAGGATTTCACAATCGCTTTCCTTTTCACTCATTGGTCCAAATATTCATAGAGTAAACTGATCCATTTTGGATCAAAGCTAACAAACAGTCTTGAGACCACACTGAGCAGCTGCTCTTAGCTCATAAAGACGCATTTTATTGACAAAGAAAACAAAATGAGCACATGTATGTGTAAAAGCACCACTTCTGAAATCAACATCTGCTACAAAAATTTGTTTTTCAACCTCAAAGTCACTCCCTAACATCCCTAGCAGCATTTTTTCCTTCAGAGAGGAAACTTGTCATCAGGAAATAGAAAACGAATTACAATCGATGCATCTCCACAGAGCAGAAGGTCACAAAAGTTCTGGCATCCTTATTGTTTTATCATTCACAGATAGATGTTGAACTTGTTACCATGACAATGGCAAAAGTAAGAAAATATGTGCCCAGAATCTTTACCATGACAACGGATCACTAGTTTACACCAGCTCAGATGTCTGATGGCACAAATACGCAAAACGTTTTCCTATAAAAACAGTGAAACGGTGATGAGCAGAGAAGTGACGCGACTTTTCAGACAAGCATGCCATAAATCTTCATCTGCACAACAGCAATATCGCCGCTGAACGTAGTGATGATGTTATTAGTCATGTTGTCCCATGTCTTTTGACGTCTCCAACTCTCTCTGTGACCATATTGGAAGCTGTCATCTGGGAGAATTTGACTTCATCCATCAGGCCGCATAGCTTATTGGCATGCAAAGTTCAACTTTCGCACTCTGATTCCAACAGTCGGCTACAACAGTTCAATTAATTTTATATCTAGTGATACTGTCATGAGAAGCTATTTGGAAACATGCGGGCCGAGTCAGTATCCCACAAAAATCCTACAAACCAAATATTAGATTTTAGAGGGTAAACAGGATGTGAATGTAATGACAGAGGAAACGTTTAATGTGGGCGGCAGAAGGCAAATTGTTGAGAAGCTGCTATAAAAGTTCATAGATTAAACATAAACAGCTCTGAGAAAACATGGGGAGAAGAGTATTAGTGGACATGTCAGGAAACAAAACATGTTTAGAGAGACAGCAAACATCACCAAGAGATTTAAACAAAATAAAAGGTCATTCATATAATTCCCCCTCGGCAAGCTGCCTAAACCATGTAACGCTTGACCTTTTAACACGCATCACAAAATATTGACACGCTGAGCGAACAGCACCAAAGAACATTCACATACACTGTTATTAGGGAGAATCTTTGTGTAATTGTGGAGTGTAAAAGTCATAGAATGGGTACTTGGTAAAATGTCACCAGCTGTGGAGAAAATGCATTTGGCAAAAAATAAAAATCTCCAGTGGGTGGTCGGCTGTGATAAGAGGGAATGATTTCTTAAAAGAACAAAAAGGCATTTTCAGAACCTAGCTTTTCATCTTTCTGTGGCTGTTCTGCACAGTAATAGAAAAACACACACTTCATCCAATCATATGCCGGTCTTTAGGAAAAGAAAAAGGCAACACCAAGGTCCAACAAAGGATATTTTACAGTGGGGACTTTATATCAACAAATCATCGCTTAGAACTAAAGTAAATCGAAAAAAATAAAATAAAACTGACTGAAAAACATCTGATGTTATACACACATGAGAAAAAGGACACTCTTACAATTTTGGAAGATTTTTATTGAGGGCTTAAGTGATGAGGTTTCCAAGGTGGAGATTCTAAATATTCAGAATTTCAAAAGTAAGATGTTAAAGTCTCGACCTCTACTCCAGAACAGAATGTCTGATCCAAATGCAAGACAGAGATTCCCCTCCTGCAAGTGTTGCTTGGATTTTCATGTATGAGAACTTTCCTCCCCACATAGCAACAGTCCCATGTAACTGAAGTTCACAGCAAAAGCAAGTAAATTGATCTGAAGAGCCAAATGCTCCAAAATGTGGCCATAGCGCTACAAAATACTTCTAAAAACCAATCAGAATTGGCGTCTTGCAATGTGTCAGGCTTTCAGCTCATCTTGAAAACGGTCAAACCCAGCTGTCTGCACTCACTTTAGTGTCGGGACGATGCTCTGCTGAGACTTCATCAGCCTGAGCCGATACCACAGGCACCGGCCATGTACCCTCCTCAGGCTCTTCAAACGCAGTTGTTCTGAAAGGAAGATGGAGAGGGACCAGTTAGGGACACATCAGCACTATCTGAATGATAACACTCTCTGACTTACATCAGTTAGATAACAAAAAGAGGTGAAATGTTAAACAGAGGAGTAGGTTCCTTTTAGAGTAGATTTAGTTTAACAGAATGAATCATTTTAGGCATCAATATACAAGGACTGCAACAACAACAACAACAAACTGGTGAACTTTGTCTGATTCGGATACATCAGAACATATCTGTTGTTTACAAACAGATAGCAGGAGAAAGATAAGAATACTCTATAATAAGACTTTTAAAAAGACAAACTTGAGATGCTGAGAAATCAACACTACTACTAAATTGCAACTTTACATTAAATAAGGAATTGGCTTCATGATTACATCCAAACACGGGCTATAAAGTCAGGTTGTTTGGATGCCAAAACAGACAGACAAAAAGACATGTGCATCATATTTCTGACGTTTGTTAGCTTCAGTTTGCACAATGGTATATTTCCAGGCTGTGAAAATAAGAAAATCTCTCTCTCTTTTTTTTTTTTTTTACAACTTGCTAAGTTTCCATAGCATCTAGTATTCGTCCAGGAAGGGTTAATGAGCGATATAAGACAACAGAGAGCCAACTACCGGGCCTTACCAGCGTTCTGATCCCGGGGCCACAGGTAATATGTGGCCGGGATCACAATAAGTCCGACGAAGGACGTGAGAAAATAGAAAAACGTATTGCCGCTGTCATCGTACTGGAACTGTTGTCCGGCCATTTCAAAGCGGCGCTGGGCTCGCCCTTGTTCCCCACCGTTGCGTGTTTCTCCCTCTCAGAGCCCCAAAATGTAACAGAGTTTCGATTGACTAGCTTGCTAGCATCCAGCCGACTGAGCTCGATGCCTCGGTGTACGTGGTGTACGCCTGCGCAATGAGGCGTCTCTTCTTCTTCTCTTCATTAAGGGCAGGACTCACACAACGACAGCGCATTGGTTCCCCCAACAGTTCCCTGTTTAAATGTTGGGCGCTGTTCTATATTTTAGTTAAATACGTGTAAAAAAGAAAAATACACATTTTTTCCCTGTCCCATATTTTAGTTAAATATGTGTAAAAATATATATAATTGTGTTACTTAAGTCTGGTTTAAGTACAAATAGTAAAGTAAAATTTTATGTTTGAAATATATTTTAAATAGGCAATAACAGTTAGTAAATCATGACAAGTAAAAAAGTTACTGTTTATGGATTGTGATCATGTCTTAAATTTACACTACAGAAAAAGGTTTCCTTCACTTTTCAAATCTAAAAATATTCTTTAGAGTTAGAATTGGTGAATTGTTGCTTCACATTCACACTGTAAAAGGCAATATTTCATTCAATGAAATATTGAATGAATAGCAAAATTTTGAATTTTGTTATCCAAATTCAACTCTATTCAATTGCTAATAGACATACAGTTTTAATTTCTTGGTTTTAATTTTTTTCGACCAGCTGGGGCCTATTTGGACTTAGTTTTGATGTTCGTCAAGTGCATTTTTAGGTTCTTTCTTGGGTTCTCATCTCCTAATCCAAAAGCATGTTTGTAAGTTTCATGAGCCTCATTAAATGTTCGTTGAGTGTGTGTATTTGTATTGCTACTTTTATATCACAGAAAAGAGTAGACCAAATATATTCCTGGCAATATATTTTTATATAGTATGGACATGCATAATAGGCACAAATCTTTTTCATATATAATTCATATCCAATGTTTTTCAGTGCAACCTAAATCTGGACTGTCATGTTACATTTCATCCAACTTAGCAACACTGAAATGTGACAAGAGAAAATGTTAAACAAGGTGCAAAAGAAGCGTACACCTTCTGAAAACAATGTGTTGCATGTAACATCGTATTATCTTTTGTGCAGGCATTTCACGTCAGGAGTGTAGAAGGCACATAAAGTCTGATAGTGGTCACATCTAAATTATGTCAGTTATATCACAACAAGGTAGAGCTCAGCAACGAATCAGAATTGAGTATTAACATGTTGAGTGTGTTCCCCACTTCTCACCTTTTAATTGATGCAGATAGGCACTCCCTGCAGAGTAGGTACAGAAAATGGATGGAAAATATTTTTTTTTTTCAACCCAAATATTGCACGTTTTAGTGAGCCAATATCAATTTATCTTTTCAACCCATTCTTTAGTAGCCTTTGGCAGCAGTATTAAACATCTATTTAACTTTACCACAGTATTGCCTTCACATGTATTTTCAAATGAGCAAGCAATAATGGTTTAGAAAACAGAACCACTGGCCGATGTTTTAAGAATCACAAGGTTAAGTGTTACACCTACTGATCAAGGACAAATTTAATGAGCAAAAATTGGGAATACAACAAAAATATCAACATTCACACTTTTTTACTAATTGCTTTATTAAAAAAAGAAAATAGAAGAGCATAACATAGTTTCCTACATAGATGACTGAGAGCATTCTTGAGTGGAGAACATACATCAACATTAGTACACTTTTTTTTTTTGCTATTTAAAGTACTGCTGATACAAAAAAATACCAACTAAAACCTTTTTTTTCTTTGCAGCAATAAGTAGTTTTTAGAATTTTAAAATTATTTGTTCTTCAAAAGACATTTGAACACTTTTCCACATTTTATTTTTGATTTGTTCAGATGGCCACCATGATCTCCTCCAGATTCTTCCGTTTCAAATCTGGCACAGTGGCGTCAGCTGCAGGATAACCCACAGGAAGCAGCATCAGCAGCTTCTCGTTGACCGGCCGCTTGAGGAGGAGCCTGAGCTGAGGGCCACAGTTTAGGGGCGTTGATGTGACGGTTACCAGGCCCACATTCTGACAAACAAAAAATCAGATTCTTTGTTTGAGATTATACTGTGTTTTTGGAAAAATGTTCAGAGAACATAATTGTGCATTGGGACAATTATTTAAAACAATAATTTTCATTTCATTTTGTGTCATTTGTATTTCAGAGAATATTTTGTATTTCTAACCTGCAAAGCAGCCAGGAGGATTCCACAAGAATAGAGACACTGATTTCATTGTAATAGTGGGTCCTTTTCTTGCCATTTGGTAAATCCCATAAGTCTGTTTAAAAATGAGAATCAGGTATGGAGCAACATCCAAATATTCTTTAATCCAGTTTGTCCTGTATAACAAGAGTGATTTATTAGGCATATTCTGCCCTTTTAATCATAATCATAATGGTAAAAAAGATGTGAAGTAAATATGTTCACCTTAGCCTGGCCAAATCATGGACCCACTTATCTCCCATCCTCTGGCGGTAGTTCACCTCCTCTTCTTCTTCCACAATAAGTCTGATCTTGTGCTTTGTGTCCATCTCTGACACTACAACAAACGTCCAGGGCTCTGTGTGAGCACCACTTGGTGCTGTCCCTAAACAGAGATAGAACAAGCTGATGAGCACATTTAAAAATAAACTGATGGGATTTAAAAATCCCAGTTATGATGGCCTTTGTTGATCTTCAAATGCAGGAAAAAGCCAAACTGATAAGTTCCGTGCCTGCAGTGAGGATGACCTTATCGATGACTTCTCGTGGGACTGGCTCGGGGCTGATGAATCTGACAGATCTCCTCTGGTTCATCAAGGAGTAAAAGTCTTTGGACCTCTGCAGCATGGTCTCCTCTGGGTAGCGCTGTGGTGAATAGGGAACATGTGCAAGGGCTTCCTCTTCGTTGTTCTCCACCCATTCATCGTCATCTAAAATGATCTCAAAGAAATGAAACGTGCCTATGACATTTTTGTTAATCGGGGAATGTAAATAAACAAGGAGACAGAGCCAACATATAGTCTGCCGTAACAAGGCACAGAGTTCTGACGTCCTTGAGATGTATAAACTTTAATTATCTGGTATTAATAGTTCCAATTGATGCCAGTTATCTTATACTCAATACGATATTCAAAGTAGTTTGAAAAGTTTATGTCTGAGAAAATCCAATAGATTCCATTGATGCATGGGTACTTTTCAACCTGGGTGATGTAATGTGGATTACATTTATGCATAACGTATGAAGGTTTTAAACACAAGAAACTTCCCCATGCTTGTTTTGCTCATTATTTATTTTTTGGTTTAATATGACTGTTAGTGTTGTATGTCCATTTTTAATCATTGCTCGTTGTTATTTTTCTTATTTTAATTTATGTAAAGCCTTTTGCATCCGATGCAAGTGCGAAACATAAAAATCCTATTTTTCTCTGACTAGTAAAAAAGAAACTGGAATTTACCTCCTCTTGTTATTTCTGTGTCATCCTGCAAGTCCTGGTCCACCCAGGGTCTGACCTCCTTTTTCGTAGGCCCTTTGGTTTGCTCTGCTACTCTCGGACTGGTCTCTGGTGCCCGAGATTTCAGAAACAAAAAGCCGGCCACCATGCACAGGATCAGAGCGAGGACGGGTGTGAGTTCAGACAGGAGAGCCATGACTGACTGAGCTCCTGCTAGTGGGAGCGGAACTACTGTACCGTTGCTGAGTGCAAACCTTGTGTTATAAACACTGCTCTGTTATCTGAAGTGGGCCTTTATGCTGAGTCAGAACATGGGGAAAGGCGTATGAGCTTGGCACCCTGTTGATAAAAAACAATTCCAAGGATCACCAGGTCACACAAAAAACACACACACACACAAAAAAAAAACCCTAAAAGTCTGCAAGTTTAAGTTTCAAAGTCCTGTACCGAGGTTAATATTCCACTTTCTTCTCCCTGTGCTACAAACTGAATAGTAAATCCAAATTGAAACACTTAACAAAAACCTTTAATAAAATATTGATTTTCATGGAGCAAATGAAATGAAAGTGTTTGGGATATAAGCAATTTTTTTGTTATGGTTTATCAGTTCTGAAACAAACAGATTTGGAAATCTCAGAAGCTTGTATAAAGAGGTGTGTTCAAATTCAAATGCAACTGCCTTTGAATCTGTCTGTGTGATTGAATTGAATTGAATCTTTGTTTTGTTTTTCTTTTTTGTGATATTTAGAGCCAAATTAAAAACAAAAGATTTAGAAATGTGGTTGATGGTAGAAATACCTACATTATGTATTTTAAGGACATTTTTAATTTAAGTCCATCTGTGAAAATTCCAATGAGGGTCAATCACCTTTACTTGTTGACCAAATTTATACCATTCCCGAATGTTAACTACATTTTTTTTATGTTCAGTTCCAAAACAAGGAGTGTACCTATTTGAGCCAACAACATGAGATTTGATTTAATTACGGAAAACTTATTGAGAGTTTTCTCAGTGACGAAAAGTAACAAAACCTGATGGTGTTATGGATGAATTCGGACAATAGGTGGCGCAAAAATTATTTGGCCAAGTTCTTTTTTTCTCTCTCTCTCTCTAAATGAAAAGAATGTAAATAGGGATACTGAGATTTTGTTTGTTTGTAGCTACAAACAAGAATACTTGAACAATTATTTTTGGCACTAATAATCTCTGGGGCGGCGAGATCTGAAACAGAATGTCCTGAATTTCATTATGCTGTCCAGTTTTTATGAGCTGCAAGTTAAAACTTGTAATATAGATCACTCTGCGTGACCGATCTGAGTTTCAGATTTTGAACTAAATTGTTGGAATAGACGTCTCGGTGTTCATTAATATCTGCGCCTGTAAGTAAAATGATTGTCTGAATTGGGAAGCGGATTTTTCTCCTTCCCGCCTCTTGATGGCGCAACTGTCTTTAACACATGATGCGCTAATGAAAACCATTGAGGGAATCGAAAGATTCACTGCAAAAAATGATTTACGGCTGTTAACCGGACTTATTTTTGAATATGTACATTTTTAAACACCTTCACCTGCTAATGCGGCGTTCCTGTAGTAAACTCCTTTGTGTTTCTGTTCCATTGTCATCTCCATATTCCACAATTTCTTTTATTATTATTATTATTTGGAGTCTTTATTTTTATTTTTTTTATTTCACCTCAAACCTCGACGTCTGCCATCCAGCATTTCTTGCAGCGCTCGCTCCGCCCTCTCGGCTTTCTACGGTGCTGCGCTTTAAATAGCAACTGTTTAAAGCTGCTGCACATTCCCCTGTCTGCCGTGCAGCTCCGCAGTCTTTCTCTCCCCCCTCCCCTCCTGTCCACTCCATTAACACATTTAACCAAGCAACAAACCCTCTCATCCCGCTATGTCGGCCGCCAGCACCGAACCCAGTGCCCCTCTGCCCACCGCAGGCAGCCGCGTCTTCTTCCAAGGTGCGCCCGGTGTGGGCTGCGTGAGCTCCGGCCCATCAACGGCGAGGACCCTGTCCAGAAGAAGCAGGGAAAGTGACGGTCAAGTACGACAGGAAGGAGCTGCGGAAGAGACTCGTGCTGGAAGAATGGATCATCGAGGAGCTCAGCAAGTTGTATGACTGTGAGGTGAGTAAAGGACGGGTTACCCTCTGTCAGCGGGGGGCCCTTCAAATGCACAAGGAGATAGACGACCGGGAAAAAATAATGCAGATTACTTTATGCGTGTTTCTGTGTCGTTTTTTTTTTAATTGTAGTGTCAGTCAATCAGAGCTGCACGTCTGTTTTCCATGTGTAAAACAGATGTTTTACACATAAAAACTCAAAATCATAACAATATCACACATCAACTTTTCACATCCAGGAGCTTGACTTTCTCATTTTCCTTTGCGCCAAGATGCTGAGGCTTTCAGACATCTATGTGTGCCTTTTGTGGCTCCGAGAGCTTTATTTGTTATCTCTGTCTCTGTCGTTGAGCAAGGGATGCCTGGGCCGGGGAGGAAAAGCAGCAGCAGCAGAGAAACCGCATGGTTGTCCTTTTACGCACCGGTCGCTTCCCCACCTCCAAGGAAGCTTGCAGTTGCGAAAAGGGAATTCTGTGTGCATCCATTTACATAGACCGTATAATTTCTCGTAAATGACACTAATGGCGGTCCTTTCATCAATATCCTTTAAGCAAACCCCCAGCTGCTCGGTTTATTGTAGGTTTATGAGATGGCGCGTGCGTCTCAGTTCAGTCGTTTGACGTTTATGTGGCGACGGTTTTCGCCCTTTTAACTTATACTCACTCTTCTGCGGTGCATCTGTCCCTGCGCCTTATATTAGCCACCCCAATTACTGTGCGTGCGCACGTCTGCACGTCGCATTCTTTAACACTTTAAAAAGGGGGAAGGGAGGCCTTGTGTGCGCATGTGGAGAAAGAAAGAGAGAGAGTGTGTCAGAGGTCCTGATAGCAGCAAATCCCCCTCCCAATAAACTCTCTGTTTCCCACATATACTATGCTGCCATGCAGAGCCATGTGGGGGTGTTGAGAAGATGGAAAGAAGGGCACTGGGTTAAAAGATGTGCTGATGCTGTGACTCTCCTCCCCAGCCAATCACCTCTTCTGGCTCGCAACCCTCTCCCTAATGCCAAGGGTCTGCACAAACACATGTTCACACACAATACATCTGTCACTTCCAGTCAGGCATATATTTATGTATGTGCGTGGCTCACTCCATCTATCAATGGTATAATCCACACAGAGATTACGCCACTGAGAGATTCTAAAATGACCAGGGTGGAGTGGGGTACACACACCTTGAATTATTGGGATTTTATGAGACAGGAGAACATTAATAAGAGCTTAACTGTGTATCGAAAAGAAAATGTGGCTGATACTGTGAAATGCCACCCATTGCCTTCAGAATCACCTGTTTACTCAGTGAAGGTTTTCTTCCAAAGCTTCACAGGTTTTAAAAAAACTCGAACCAATAAAAAGCATCACTGAAGCCGAAGAGCACCAAAGCCATTTAAGGGATTAATCGTTAGCCATGATAATGTAGAGAAGAACGCTGAAGTCTGAAAACAACATTCCCACACTGACGGATGGTGTGAGGATGCTTTTCTTCTTCAGGCACGTGAAGCTGGCAATGTTTGATTGGAAGATGGATGTTGCTGAAAACATGGAGATCCTGAAAGAGAAGCTGTTAAAGGCTACAAAACAGATGAGACTCCAGTTCACCTCCCAGCAGAACAATGACTCAACACAATCCAAAGCTACTGGAATGAGTCAAATCAAAGCATATTCATGTCAGAATGGTTTACAGGTAGAGGCATGCCCCAAAGGACTGAATAGCAACGCACGCAATACTTTTTACATTTTTGTTTGAAAAAGACAACAACAACAAAAACAAAGAAAATCAAATATATTTTTCTTTCACTTGGCCATTGTGCTGGGTTTTATTTTGGTCTATCACGTATACTCCCAATACAATCCTTTAAAGATTGCGGCTTTATCAAAACAAAGCGTGCCAAAATATCAAGTGATTTGTGCATTGTGTACCGAAACTAAGCTCAGGCAAAAAAAAATAAAAATCACAGTCCGACACTAACTGCCAGAACAGGTTTTTATACCTTCCCTTCTGCAATAAGAGAGAGCGTTGCAATGCAAATATTTTCCACACATGAGGTTAATAAACTCTACACGTGTGTGACGCTCCAAACTTCTCCTCCCTCATGCTGAAAATGCCATGAGTGTTGCATTTACAGGACCTCTAACACAGACCGATGCCTTTTCATGTCTGTCTGTGGGTTTGTGAGCTTCTCCCTCTCTTTATAGCCCTGCTTATTTCTCTGTTGTGGTTCTTATTTGAGCTAAAATAAGCTGAAGCCTTGTTTCCAACTGTAATGGCTGAACATTTCAAAGCTGACTGAGTTCTTGGCTGCATGTCAGACTTCCACCAGCAGGATTTAGTCAATGCAAATTGAATGTTAGATTAATTATGAGCTAATATATTTTCATATTTTTCTCTTGCATGATATCCTGTCCATTTGACCTCTTTCCATATATTGTGTACATCCATACACCAGCAGGGCATCTTTTCATATCTATTCACTTAGCCAATATAATATCCCATGATGATCCCCCTACGGCTCTCCAATAACCAGAGCGTTATTAGCCTGAGCTGAACTGGGATTTGGAAGGATTTCAATAAAAGCCGATAGTGAAAGCAGTCCCTGATGATGTCGACAAGTTGTACTTTCAGCACATTGTTAAAGATGTCTATCATCTCCTCGAGTGTTTGAGCAGGAGGTTGTTACTATATACTAGTGATCTTTATGGACATGACTGTAAGCAGGACGTCACATTCCAACCACTGTTGTAAATACCTTCATGCTGAAACCCAAATTGGTTTCGGTAGTTCTTTAAGCATGTGTGTGTTAGATACATGTAGAGGTGACTATGCTGTTCTTGCTGAAAGGTCATCCACTGTATTAGTTTCATAAGAAAACCTGATAGTACATTGGGGACTGTGATATAGAGGCTTGAGTTTGTCAGTGAAGTCCGGTTGTTTGTTGAGGCAGAAATGTGATAAAATAAACTAAAAAGATTCCATTAGTAATGCAATTTGCTGTTCAGGGTGTATCACACTTTTAAGACCTTTGCAAATATTGAAATCATCTTACTTGTTTAATCAATATTCAAGTAGTAGAGGATCACAAAGCGGTGGTGCTCAAATCCAGGCCTCAAGATCTTTTATCTAAA